GAGCGTTTTGTTGCTCGCTACACTACATGTCAAAAAGCTAAGTCACGACTCAATCCTCATGGTTTATATATGCCTTTGCCTATACCTAGTGTTCCTTGGGACGATATATCTATGGACTTTGTTTTAGGTTTACCTCGAACAAAGAAGGGGAGGGATAGCATATTTGTTGTCGTGGATAGATTCTCGAAAATGGCACACTTTATATCATGTCATAAAAGCGATGATGCTGTTAATGTTGCTGATTTGTTCTTTCATGAAATTATTCGCTTGCATGGTGTGCCAAATACTATTGTTTCAGATCGTGATACTAAATTTCTTAGCCACCTTTGGAGATGTTTATGGGCTAAATTGGGGACTAAACTGCTTTTTAGTACTACTTGTCACCCCCAAACTGATGGTCAAACTGAACTAGTGAATAGAACATTGTCTACTATGCTTAGGGTTGTTTCGAAGAATAATAAGAAAATGTGGGAAGAATGCTTGCCTCATATTGAATTTGCTTATAATCGTTCATTGCATTCTACTACTAAGATGTTTCCTTTTGAAATTGTGTATGGTTTCCTACCTCGTGCTCCCATTGATTTGTTGCCTCTTCCATCTTCGGAGAAGGTTAATTTTGATGCTAAACAACATGCTGAATAACATTGAGCATATGAATGCTAAATATAAACTTGTTGGAGATAAGGGTAGAAAACATGTTGTGTTTGCACCTAGAGATCTTGTTTGGTTACATTTGCGTAAGGATAGATTTCCTGATTTGCGTAAATCAAAGCTAATGTCACGTGTTGATGGTCCTTTTAAGGTGTTAGAGAAAATAAATGATAATGCATATAAACTTGAGTTGCCTGTAGATTTTGGGGTTAGTCCCACTTTTAACATTGCAGATTTGAAGCCTTATTTGGGTGAGGAAGATGAGCTTCCGTCGAGGATGACTTCATTTAAAGAAGGGGAGGATGATGAGGACATCAATACCATTGTTACACCCACAACCCCTGCTGCTATACATACTGGACCAATTACTAGAGCCCGCGCACGCCAATTAAATTATCAGGTACTTTCATTTCTTGGTAATGATTCTAATGTTCATGAGAATATGATGCTGCCTAAATTGGATACATTTGTTTTGCTTACAAATGAAGTGCCTGGCATGGATAAGAGGGATGAACACTGGAGCAAGACCAAGCATGGAGATGATGGCATGCGCAAGGGGAACAAGAACAGAGTTACAAGTGATGATTTCAAGACTTTGAAGCCATCATAAGGAGTGCATGAAGCCTTGGACGAAATATATAAGATGCCACTTCATCAATTTCGTCTAGAGGCTATTCTAGGTGCTGCATCAACTTATTATTGGGCCAGGCCCATGTATTTTCGAAATACTTAAGTATAGGCTGTTTTTAGAGTCTGTATGTGTGGGGAAACAAGAGTTACGGTTGGTTTCAGACCCCTCCTCCAAGGGCCACGAAATTCCCCCCTCTTCCTCCATATATACAACCTTAGGGCGTCGTTTAGACTTTGGGTTTTGTTTAGATTAAAAGTTCGCCATAGCTGCAACTTCGCGTACTTCGTTTGTGTTCAACGACCAGACAAAGACGTCACAGAACCCCACCTTCATTAATAAATCTTTCATTTTATATTCGCAATATCCATATTGCAATCTTAGTTTCTTGCATGTACTTTGTTTGCTTGCAGGAAATAGACCTTCGTGGTCGGGTTGATCGTGCTCCGGCGTGGTCAATAACCTCTCGGAGTTGGTTTAGCGATTGCTAAGGCGCGACATCTTCGCACGTTCGTAGTCGGATCGTCAAAGTATACTCCTCCGAAACGATAATCACCATCTCATCGAAAGACAGGACACCTTTGCCTCTATCATCAACACAACGAACAACCCTCTTGTGGATGAACATGAGCCATGGCTGAATCACAGCTGTCAGTGTTGCTGCCTGAACTACCAGCTTCATCCATGCGTCCATAACCTAGTCGACATCGAGGGTGCGTTGAGCAATGGGGAAATTAATCCTACACCTTGCCTAACGGCCTAACAACCGACCTAACATAGGGGGAAGGGGTGTTCCATGTTGCGTACCAGCTTCAGAAACAACGACGACGAAGGGGGGACCATGACTCAGTCGAGGAGGAGCAGACGGTGGCCAAGAGGAAGGGGAGAAGCAGCTTCTACTGTCGGAGAGTGCTGCTGCCGCGTCTGGTTGCGCAGATCTGAGTCGTCGTCGCCGCCGGTGCTAAGAACAAAGGGAGTGCTTATCCTAGAGCTAGTGGTGACCGAGTAAATGGAGCAGTGAGGCTAGATTTGGTGCCACCCCGCCTCAGCGGATTTGCATCTCCCGCCATCTTCACTCGATTTCGCCTTGCATGTGCATCCAGGGCCGGTCCTGACATTTGAGGGCCCGGGGCGACACAAGAATTGGGGGCCCTTAGCCTTAATGTAATCATTAAAATAATGGCATATAATCTATATAGTAAAAACACTTAAGATGCATCTAAAACCGATATTTATAATAAATAGCTTATATATATTATCTAATTTTTGCTAACATTTGATAGATGCAAAGTCATTGATGATCATACCAATATCCATATCTTCTAACAAATTGTACATGAATAACAAACTTTTGCTAGAGGCATCTGTTAGATAATAGTACATCTCTCAGTCCTAATAAATGACAGAATTGTAAAATACAATAAAATTAGAATTTAGAACTAAACATACATTTGCTATATGCGGTACACATCCATTCAATATTTAAGATGATGGAAATTACACACACCTTGAGGACTTAGCTTTTTAGGAATGGTCGAACTAGCGAACTAGCAGGAGCAGCCAGAAGGATTTGAACGAAGCAAGGACTGGACCGGCAGCGGTAGAGAGGACAGCAGGGGCCATTCACCGTCCTTCAATGTCTCTAGAGGGCGGCAGCGAATTGTTGAACACATGCTATCTGCCATGGTGGCTAGTGGTGGCTTTGGAAGAGGGTTATTTGGATACTGAATTTTGGGATCGGTGAGACAGATAAGGAGAACGAGGAGGCGAGGATCCAGGTAGGAGATCGGAGAGTGGAAGTTCGTCCAGCGCATGCATGGAGATCATGACGATAATCTAGCGATTGCAACTTTTTCTTTTTTTTAGCTCGCGATCAATGGGATATCTGCTACGTCTTTCTTTTGTTAAGGCAAATCTGCTACGTGCGTACGTGTGCCTGCCTCCTTCTTGGGCCAGCAATGGGCTACTTGCGTATGTGTACCTGGCAGGGGGGCCCTTAGGTTGTGGGGGCCGGGGCGGCCGCCCCCTCTGCCCTCCCTTAGGGCCAGCCCTGTGTGCATCCCTTTTGTGCCGCACTCAGCCTGATTCGCTGGAAACTATCGATTTAAGAGTTTCCAACGAGCTAGGCTCTGGGCTGCTTTAACGTTCTTACCGATGCGAGCCAGCCCGCACCGTTTGCAACCAAACACGTTTTTCCTAGCCCAACTCGGCCTTGTTGGAGATAATGCGGGCAACCAAACACGCCCAATATAAGGAGATAAATTTTGTGGCTGTGCCTGGTACTCCCTCTGTTTTAAAATAAGTGACTCAACTTTTTGGGACGGAGGGAGTACTACATAGCAGTTCGGTAGTACTTTTCGGAGTGCAGAAGAGTAGAGTTTGTGGGCGGGTAACTGGTTTGGTAGAAATCAAAATGTGTGAGAGGGGGGAAGGAAAAGGAGGGTAGGGGAGGGAATAACCAGTTGCATTATTACTGTAAAAAAAAGCTCGCTGGTTTTGTTGGGCAACAAACGAGTAGTAATAATCAATCAATCAAGCTAGAAAACGAGTATATAATCAATCAATCACAAGTCCAAGCCCCGATCAGAGCGCACGCGCGCGGCACACGTCCGAGCGGGAGCAGGAGCGATCGATTGCCTCCGATGGGATGGATCCGTGGCGAGGCCGTGCGCGCGTGACTGCACTGCATGCCGCTAGCTGGCATTTACCACGCTCCACCACCGCTGCCTGCTTGCAACAGGGGAAGGAAGGAAGCAAAAGGCGGTTGGTTTACTTTTGCCGCCGCGGCCGCGCAGCCGTCGCCAAAACCTCCTTGGCGCGCCGACACGCGTGGCGCGCCGACGACCCTCCCGCCCTCGCCATCCCCGGGTGGCCGTTCCGTCCGCTACACTGTCCTGCCAAACGCCTCTCTCTCTCTCTCCTCTGCGCGACCGAATCTCTCTCCCTCTCTCTCTGCAGGCCACAGCACAGCACACGATACGATCTGCCCCTGCCACAAGTCTCTCACACACACACACACGTCCCTCGCTTTACACCCTTCCTTCTCTCTCTCTCTCTCTCTCTCTCTCTCTCTCTACGTAGCAAGAAAGATCCTGCACGCACCCTCCCCGTCGCTCCCTCCCCCTATTTAACCAACCGCGGCCACCGGAGATCGATCGGTCCATCCATCGATCGGGGCGGACGGCCGGGGAGAAACCCAGCCCAGAACCCCAGCTCCTCTCCAGCCGCCCGCCATGACCTAGCCAAAACCCCAACCCTTTCAGATCCATCCATCCATCCATCCGCCCAGTT